TTTTTTTTTTTTTTAAATTTATTTATTTAATCTAGTCTTTTCTTTTGCCACTGGCTGGAAAAGTCCCCTCCAACAAGAATGAAGTGGACCATGGTCTACTAGTTGATAAACACAGTTTTAGCAAGTTTTTCCAGCTACATAGACATTTTATTTTGTGTGCAAAGGGGCAGAAATGGCTCTTTTGGTCATAAAGGTTGCAGACCCCTGCCCTAGGAGAACATGCAAACTCCACATAGAAAGGATGGGAGGCAAACTTGCAAGTTTCTTGCTGTGAGACAACAGCACTAATCGCTGCCTTTCCATGCTGCCCCAAAGTAAAAATATTTTATTTATAAACAAACTGTAACCACAAGATTTACATTTCATGAGACAAAAATAATCATAATTGATTAGTTCAACAAAGGCATGTGTTCTAGGTTATAAATAGGTAGTTGTTTTATGTACAATTACATACTCAAATATTTTTCTTTTATTTAAAAACCATAAACTTGAAAGCCGAAATGTGGCTCCAACAAACAACTTGGACTTAAATACAGCATAAAGTTATTACAAAGAGCATGGCTGTGAAAACTCACCAGTCCCAGGGCAAAGAAGAGGATGAGGAGAATTCCACAGGAGAGCATGGAGAGGCCCAGCAGGAGAACCAGTGGCTGATACTGGTTGATGCAGGAGAATTTGCGATACAGCGCCTCATTCTTGAGCTCCTGGTTGTTTAACAGGTACTTCCCCTTCGCTGGCATGACTAACTCTTCTCACAGAGACATAGCTGGTGTGAACAGGGAGCCTCGGCGAGCAGAAATGTGTGTCTCCACAACTTCTTTGAGTAAGTAAGCCAGAAGATCGTTTAAAAAGAAAGTTGTAAAATTTCTTTGGAGACTGTTGCTAGCTCACGACACTCAAGTGAAACTTGTGTGCTTCCTTTGTGGCGGCATCTGGATTGCTTTAGTTGCTTCTCACAGCTTTGCAGTTGCTCTCACCGCTGGTTATCCCTTCTTTATCTTTTAGTCTCTTTCACTGTTGCGCCTGCCTTTGCGAAGTCGTTTTGTGTCTTCTACCCTCTGTCTGGTGTTGGCAAGCAGACCTGCTTCATCCTTTGCCAACTACTGTGTTCTTCCCGTCAGTGGGTTCGAGTAAAAAGCCCAGGGCTGGGAGACACCAAACAGAGGAGGGGATTAAGACGTAGGACGGGGGGAGAGGGGTGCGAAGGAGCTGATGAGGAGCGTGCTAAAGGTCCACTGAGATCTGACAAGGATTTAGGATGTAACTGAACAGATGAGTCCTCAGCTCTCTAGGCACCTGGAAGGAGAAGACGAGAAAAAAAAAAATAGATAGAAAAATAAGTTTTTACTTTAAAAAAGCGTTCAATACAAAAACAACTGGACTTTATTTAAAGTTTTTATTCAAAGTTTTTACTTTGATAACATGTGCTTAAAAATGCACACATTGTACAAACACAGGAGGAACATGTAAAGGACACTCTGTGTGACTCAATAGGGGCAGCTAAATATCCAGATAGTTCAATTAGTCACCACACAATTTCTACACTTTCATCTTTATCTGATGAAGGCTCCTAACATGTCTTTACCAACATTTTCAGCAGACATAAACATGACTTCACTGCCCCCCCCCCCCCCCACACACACACACACACACACACCAAAAGCTTTGGAAACATTTATTGAACAGTCCACAATTATAGACTAAATTCCCTCATAAGTCACCCAGAATAATTTACTCTCCAGCCAGCTGAACCAACAAACCAAACCCACATCTGCAGCAGCAACAGGATGAGACACACAAATCAAACAGAAGAGGACTTGTGAAATTAAACCAACCATGGCTAACTCCGGCTTGTAAACTGGAAGACGGCCATTAAGTACTCGCTCATAACTTGACCAGTTTCCAGACAATCTGTCTCGAGCACATAAGTTGTGAGCAGTAAACAAGGCTCAGTTATCACCTTTATTAATACACTGTCCGAAGGGTCATTTTAATGTCAGCGTTAGCAGGTTTTATACATTACAATGAGAACACACAATGTGTACATTTGATATTTTTTTTCCACCACTGCCTATTCAAGTGCATCTGTGAATAAATGAGAAATCCCAGCAGTTTGTCTTGCAGGCAGTCTCCATCACACATTCTTATCAGAGGTAACAGTTTTTACCTCTGGGTGGAGGTCAAATCTACAGGGCTTTATTTTTTGCTAAAAGACAACAATTTTAAGATTCCCTTTCTTTTTTAATTTTACACTATGTTATCATAGCAGCTCTGATCGTTGGTGCTGCTTACTGGTTACATTTGTGACTTACAACCAGTTAGTGAAATTAACGTAGAACTAAGGAGGAAAATTAGGAGATTCTTTCAATACATGTCCTGACTGACTAGTCATAAGTAGCTCGGCATTCATAGAATAAGGTGTTTGGAGGTGTACAAAATTTACTTGTACAAAAAAAAAAAAAACAGATTTACTAATGGATTTTATTAATACTGTTCACGAACCAAGACCATTTCATAATTAGGTTTTCACAACATAATGCAGTTTCAGTGAAAAATTATTTTTTGTATTCCAGGTTGTACAATGATTGTACAACATCAATTAAAAACAAGATTAGAGTTCATAAATAATTGTGTTAGCTGTGAAATACAGTTCCCAAAAAATAAAATTACACTATGACAAAACTTTAAATTAACCAAAAAAAAATGGCATAACTCATATAGCGGATGCTTTACCCCTTTTTCCAATAACACATTTTCGTTTTTATAGATTTTGACTAGGGATGCACAATATTGGATTTTTGGTCGATATCAGATATGCCGATATGTTAAAACTTATTTGGCTGATAACAGATACTAATACAGATCCCCCCCCCCCCCCCCCCCCCTACACCTACTTACAGAGGCTACATAGCTTTCTCTGCTGTGGAATTAAAATACTACATTATTCTGCATGGTCTTTGTCAATTTGGCCTGCTACCAAATGCAGATGCCAAAAAGGAGCTGAAAATGATTTAACACTTCAACTTGGATTATGTTTAATGTCAAATTTTGTCACTGGGTTGTCAAACAAAAACTGCACCCTATATATACATATACTGTATATATATACACACCTTTTATATCGGTGAGTTATTTAAATGGAATGGCTGATATCCAATATTTAACTTTAATGCAAATATCGGCCTATACCGATACCATGCTGATAATATCGTGCATCCCTAATTTTGACCTATGTTTGGCTCATTAATTATTCTGTATGTTACCAGACTAAACATGAACTCTGCAACATGTGGTGAGCAAATACTCAGTAGCTGTACAGCTCAGCAAAATCGTTCAGCAAGGACTACAACTGCGCCTCACTGAGTATTTTTATTACAAACGCTCAACAGCTGAGGAAATTACACAGCCTCCTTGTAAAGAGGCATTACTGGATTCTTCAGCAGCAGCCAAGAGAAGAAAAAAAACATCAGTTTACTTCCAACTTCTTTTCTTCATGTTTCTGTCAAGCATTTCATTCAAAAACAGTAGATGTTCCTTTTACCAACAGGTTTATGCTAATCTACACCTTTTGTTTTGCTCTTGCAGAGCACATAGCAACAGTTTGATACAAAAATAAAACAATATCTATTCTCTCATTTGAGATATAAGAATTTGTTGGCTAAATGCAGGAAATGCACTAACTACAGTCCTCATCCAATGAAAAACTCTCATGGGTAATAAACTATTTTTATCTGAAGATCTGAAGAAAGCATCATCCAAAACTGCACCCAATTTAAAGCTTTTCATAGCAAGCAAAAAGACGAGGTCTCATTCCAAAGCAAATCACTTTGCTTTTATGGGTGCCTTTGTGCCGACATTCAGTGAGCTTAGACAAAAAGAGAGACAAAGACTGACCTTTGTTAAAGAATAGAGGACCATATTTCTCAGACCACGCTGCACAAATCCAGGGTTAAAGGTGGTCTGAGTGAAAAACATGACCAAACTTAACGTTTTTCTTCACACAGAGTAATAAAACGTTTCAGCTTGAACTTTTGTAGGCACTGAGAGCTAACAAGATCACAACTTTATAAACACTTTTTTCAAAATAACATTAAATGATGTTTTTATTGGAGAAAAAAATGTAAACAAAGCCAAAATTGGCAAAAATCTATCCAACATTATTATAAATGTTCAAAACAGAACTTTGGAGTGTTAAAGACACAAGGCTTACACAAAAAAATTATAACACTGATTATTTTTAAGCATGATTGTTAATCAAGTTTAATGCATTTTGGTTTGCTTTATTAATTCAAATGCTGGTTCAATTGATTCTTTCTTTTATTTACCGGTGTGGAAAAAGTTGGGATATTGTGTAACAAATATATAAAAATAATGTAATAATTTGCAAAAAAAAGATGTAAAAATAAATGGGAGGAATAAGAAACAGAAAATAAAGATAAATAAATATTACCAGAAATAAAGATGGGAAGAGGTTCTCCAGTCCACAAGAAAAAAAAAAACTGTTTAAAAACTGTGGAAGGATTTAAAAATAATGTTTTTCAGCAAAATAAAAACTTGTGAAGACTTACATCATCTACAGTTTAAAATCATCAAAATACTTCAAGAATGTGGAGAAATGTCTGTTTTCAAAGGACAATGCTGAAAGTCAGTATGGCTGTGATCTTTGACCCTCGGGGGCTAATGCATTAAAAACAGGTCTGATTCTGTTCTGGACATCACTGCACGGACTCAGGAACACGTCCATTGATCTGTTAACACAGTTGGCTGTGCCATCCACAAATGATGGTTAAGACTATCACACAAAGAAGAAAGAGTATGTTAACACCGTCCAGAAATGCTGCTGTCTACTCTGAGTTCATTTAAAATGGATTAAATCAAAGTGGAAAACTCTGTGGTACAATTTCTTAGTTTAAAACATTTAATATGTTTATGTTTCATTCTGAATAAAAAAGGGTTTATAGATTTTTGCCAGTCATTGCAATCTGTTTTTATTCCCCAGATTCCACGTCTCAACTTTTCAGAATGTGTTGAAGGTTATTTAGCCGTTTCAATACGTTTCAGTTTTATTATTAACTAGAGAAATTGCATTTCCTGTGAAAATGCAGCGTGAATGATTATTGCAGAACTTGTTGAAAAACAGCTGAAATGTAGCTGGAATGAAGAACTAGCCTAAAGTAGCAGAAGAAAGCAGAAATAACATATTTGCTGAATCAGGTTTAAATGAGTAGAAATGAGCACAAAAATTTGGAAATTTGCTAAAAAAGAAGGTTGAAATAAGCAAAAATTGCTAAAAAAAAAAGTAGCTGAAAAGGCAAAAAAAAAAATGCACAAACTAACAAAGTGAAAAGAGCTGAAATGAGTTTAAAAAAGGTGGAATTAGCTGAAAAAGCAATAATTAGCATAAAACAGCTAAATAGTAGTTGAAATAGCATAAACTAGCAGAAGAAGGCTGAAATGAGCATAACGAGCTGAAATTAGCAGAAAGAAGTTCATTAGCCTGAAAGTAGCAAAAATCACCAATAAAAAACTTGGATTTATCTGCAAAAAGCTGAAATTAGCTTAAAAATACTAAAATAATAATAATAATAAAAAAATACCTGAAAAGGTAGAACAAATCTTAAATTATCATAAAAAAAAAACAGAAAAACACATTTGCCCAATTAGGCTAAAAGAAGCAGAAATGAGCACAAAAAATGGAAATTACCTGGAAAAAAGCTGAAATTAGCACACAAAAATAAACAGCTGAAAAGTAGCTGAAAAAGCAGACAGAAGCTGAAATTACAAGAAGAAAGTGGAGAGAGCACATTTTAAATTAA